AAAAGCACAGAAAATCTTCTGGTTAGCAGCCAGAAGCTTTTTCGTGATCATGCGGAGAGAATACATTTGATCCGTACATCCTCTTCCAGGTCTAAATCCGCATTGTGCCTCCCATAGAAATCTTTCCGATTTCTCTTGCATCCTACGTGTCAAAACCTTCGAGTAAACTTTATTTGCTAAACTGGTCAAGCTGATCGCCCGATAGCACCCGCAGTCAAAATGTGAACCTTTACCTTTTATAAAGGCACAATGACTGCGGATCGCCAATCATCCGGGACATCCCCCGTCCCTCAGCACAAATTGCACAGCAGATGAAAGCTGTCCCAGACGCGAGGCCCACCATACTTGACCATTTCAGCAGTAACTCTGTCTAGTCCCGCAGCCTTACCACATTTCAAACTTCGAATCGCACGTTCAATCTCTTTCATACTGATGACCTCAGTGTCATCAAGGTCCGGGTCTGGCGTACCAATCACGGCGTCATCCTCGGATCCCTCACTAAGATCATCACACGCATACATTTCTCTTATAAAATTCGCTCCATCGCTGCATGACGTCCGATTTTTCTGAGAGGACGTCATTAGTTCTCGAAAGCACTTTGTTCATTCTTAAGGTCGTCGCACCACTTCGGGTCCTTCCAACCTCTTTCCAGAAGAGTTTGGAGTTCTCCTTAAAATTGTGCGACAAACTTTCGTCCGCTTCCATTCTACACCTTTCACGCACTTCCTCAATCAATGCTTTCGTGTGAACTTTCTGCAGCTTATATCTTTCTTTCATCTTCTCTCTCATATCCTTATCATTACTAGAGGCCAAGTAGTCTAACCATGCTTTCTTCTTCTTCTTTACAGCTTCTTTCACTTCATCATTCCACCATGCATCTCTTCTTTTACTACTGCCTCTTTTTATTGTTCCACACACTTCTTCCGCTGCACTTACCATTCCATCCCTAAGGTTCTGCCATGTTCTTTCTACACATTCTTTCTGCCATCGATGGTGTCAAGCTTTTCGGCTACCTTCGCATGATATTTGTCCCTAGTATCCGCTTCCTGGAGCTTCCAGCTTCGGATGCGAGAGACCGACTGTGGTTCTGTTACTGCCGTCTGGTAGCGCCAACCCGCGAACAGACCCCTAAATCTAGTAATCACTAGATAGTGATCCGTTCCCAGGTCAGCAACCCTGAACACTCGCGTATCCATCACCTGTTTTCGCAGTCGGTCATCCACCAGGAACAAATCGATCATACTTCTCTCATTCTTTCGTTCTCTAGTATACATATGGATTTTCTTGTGATTAAACATAGTGTTTGTCACAAGAAGACCCTTTTCCTTGCACACCGCCAGTATAAGCTTGCCAGCATCATTAACCCTTTTATCGCCAAACTTTCCAAGTACCGATTCGTACCCTGGTCGAGCGGTACCAACCCATCCATTCAAATCACCACATACAACAATTCTTTCGTTTCCCCTAGCCAAATCTAGAACTTCTCTTACATTCTCCCAAAACTCCTCCAGCTCAGCCCTGGACGACGAAGCTACCGGCGCATAAACAGCCAAAAGGAATAACTTCGTCAGTCCCAATTTAAAGCGAACCCAGAGAAGTCTTGAGTTTACAACCTTATATTCAGTCATAACATCGACCAACCGAGAAGACAGCAGCACCCCCACTCCCTGGCAGGCGTTCTCGCTCTCCGGGACTCCGGACCATAGAGCTAACGCCCCGCCAGGGAGCTCTTCAGTACCACTACCCTTCCGTTTGGTCTCCGACATACACACGACATCTAATTCTCTTTCTTTCATTATTTCGATCAACTCATTCGTCTTATCTCTCATGCCTCCTCTAACATTCCACGTGCCAACTCTGCACTCTGTCCTCCACCTTCCGCCGTGTCGGGCTGTGCGTGACGGGTGGCGGTCCCCATCGCCGCTTTGCGCGCTGCATTCCACACCAACGGTGACGAGCTGGTGTGCGTCGCCTTGGGGGGACGCTCTAACCCTCGTTGGCATGGGTGAGCAGCTGAGTAGAATTGCAGCCCTGAAAAGGGCTGGCAGAATAGACACACCTACATAAAAGTGACTAAATAAAAACGTGATAAGAAAGGTTACCTTCAGTCGATTTTTATCAATATGTATAAAGGTTAATATGTACAAATCTACTAAATTCGCAAAGCAAAATATAATGAGACTACCGATCTTGTTGAACGTCGAACGAATAGATCATTGAAGGACCTAACGTTGAAGTTCCAATTAATAACAGGATGTATTCACATTAACTTTAGTAGTAAAAAATTAAAAACCAGCCGTTAATAAATAAATAATGAAAAAAGCCAAATAAAGTTCATCTGTGCTGTGGTTTAGGATAATCTATCAAGACTTAATATGTGTCCTACATGACGTGTGTCGTAAGAGGCAACTTTACAAAATGGCTTCTGGAATCCTACATAGGTATGAAGCGTATATTACTGCAATCTTCTCTTTCTCTCCTTCATCGCCCGTAAAAGTCCGAAGTTATACATTGGCCGTTCCCATATGTAGAAAGGATTTGACTCGATCATTATGCTAGGCAGGTGGGTTGAAAATCGCAGTACGAGACGTATTGCATCTTTAAATCGCCAGGAGATTGTTAAAAATCCACCTTATAATGGGAGAAGCTGGCAAAAAAAAATAAACTCTCTATATTCCTAAAAACCAGAAAGTATGAAATCTCTCTTTCTAATAATAATTCCGTCAGGTCGTAAAAGTTTATTGCTAAACGTGGTCCTTCCATATAATAGGAAGGTTTGTTTGTAATCACCATGTTACACAAGTGTAATCGTACTAACTTTTCTACCTTTAACGCGACTTCCTGACCGGTCTGAATATTTTTCTTCTTACATAAATACGTGTACTTATCAATGTTAAACTGTAAACCGTGTAGAGGCGGTATAAGAATATTCACTACCTCATATTGTCCTGTGGGTGCCGTAAGAGGCGGCAGAGGGAAACTGAAATAATCGTATGTATCTTCCTGATAAAAAACTCTAAATTATAAAAATGCCGGTGGTCAACTTGCCTCCCAAACGTGGCTACTATGGTAATCTACGAGGGAGGCTTTACGTTTAGCTGTAGACTTTAATGGTTTGTAACGCATGGATGCATGTCATGCATGAATTATAGTGTAGAAGCGGTGTAAGAATTACCACTGCCCCATATCATCCCGTAGGTGTCGTTAGATGCTACAGACGAAAGTAAATCAGGGGCAACAGCATTTTCCTGATAAAGACTTTAAATAAAAAATTCCGATTACCAAATCGCTTGCCAAATATGGCAGCTGTGGCAAATATCCCCCTTGTGAGGAAATCTATGGGTGAGGCCTATATTCAGCAGTGGACTTTACAGGAATTGCAGGCTGTAAAGCTAACGTTTTTTTAAAATAATGAAGACTTACAACACCCACGGGATGATATGGTGTATAAGAATATACACTACCTCATATGTATTATATTTAAAAAAAATACATAATACACACATAAATAAACACTCATGCCTGTCACATAAATGTGTAGACAGAGACTACCATCCAGATGGGTAGAAATTAGGGACTTTCATTTGACACGAACCTGACACACCTCTTTCGCCTCCTTTACATACATATACCTACGCATACATGCTCGTCGGTTAAGGGTACTCCAAATTTGGCCCATTATCAATATATCGCCAGTTTGGTTGAAAAAGTTTCGCCTAGGGTGTCCCTTTTTTATAAAATAAGGATAATAAATGATCACACAGTCCACCTGATGGTAAGTGGACACTGCGGCCCATAGACATGTACATCTAAAACAGCAGTATTAAGCTGCTATTTTACGCTGGTATCTGTGAGAGCGTGGTCCTACACCGGTCGAGCCTACCCATTCGTGTTACAAACATAATATAGCTGCAGCATGGCTCTACCACGTAAAAATAAGTTAAAAGTATAAACAATGTACAACAATTAACAAGTACCCTTGTACAATGCCCCAAAAATAAAACACAATACTCAGTGGTGAGAATAGGTAACAACCATTTTAATTCATTCAACACTACATGTAAAACAGGTGAACCATTATATCGCGATACAGAAATCGTAATACGCCATGTAGCGCTGTTGCTTCGAACTTGTACAACACAAACATATGTTGTACGTTGTTAAGAAAATAATTTATCGGGTCTTAACATTCCGCCCGCCATGGACTAAGTCCATAATTAACAATTTTTAGATTTTAGGCAACTTATAAACGAAAAGGGTAACAAAAATTAGGCTCTTATTTCAAATTAACTTTCAATAAAAATGATACAGAAAATAACAATAAATAAAGGCATACTTGAGTCTATGAATGAATGGTTACATAAAAATGTAGTGATTGAACATGTAGACCTTCTTATAAAAAAAATGTAAACAAAGGAAGAAACTTGACAATGGTTATTATTTTATGACAATTAAATCTTAAATTTAAACACAATCTTTGGGTAATAATACTAATTTAGATACTGGTCGTTTTATGATATTGCCCTTATATTTTAAGCTTACTACGCGCGTGAGACCGTCCAACCCTGGGTGCTTATCGGTGATGATACCTAGTAACCACCTCGCTGGTGGGAGATCGTCTTCTTTGACCAATACTACACTTCCCACGTCTGGTTCAGGAACTTGGTCCGACCATTTATAACGATGATGGAGCTGAGTCAGATACTCTTGGGACCATCTACGCCAGAAGTCCTGGACCATGCGTTGGGTTAAATTCCACCTACTCAGGGCACTAATATTAGAGGTTTCGTAATTCATGTCTGGTACGAGAACAAGAGGTTCGCCTACTAAAAAGTGACCCGGAGTAAGTGGATTTGGGTCATCAGGGTTGTTCGATATCTGACAAATGGGTCTCGAGTTGAGGCACGCCTCAATCCGAGACAACGTGGTAGTCAACTCTTCAAAAGTAAGGGTGCTATCTCCAATTTCATGTTTTAGATGGTACTTGGCAGATTTAATACGTGCCTCCCACAACCCTCCAAAGTTTGGAGAGTGGGGAGGAATAAAGTGCCAGTTAGCACCATTTGAGGACATCCAGTCCTGTATTTCCGCCACTACAACAGACCTTTCTGCGGAAAACAATTTTGTAAGCTCTTTAGCACTTCCTACAAAGTTAGTGCCGTTATCGCTCCACAAGTCAGAGACATGGCCTCTTCGTGCGACAAATCTTTTGAATGCAGCCAAGAAGCTTTGCGCAGTCATGTCGCTGACCACCTCAAGGTGTAGGGCTTTCGTTGCCATGCACACAAATAAGCATATGTAGCCCTTTGTGGAGCGATAACCGCGACCCTTTGTAGGTCTGACTTGAATTGGACCCGCGTAATCAACTCCACTCTTGTGGAAAGGTCTGTGTGGGGTAACTCGTGATGATGGTAGCTGACCCATCATCTGCTGGCTTGCTTGTGCCGAGTAGCGGATGCAGGTCACACACCTGCGGACAAACTGACGAACGAGACTTTTAGCGCCAATTATCCAATATCTACTTCTAAGATAATTGAGCATGATTTGAGGCCCTCCGTGCATCGTTTTAGAATGAGCCTCGTCGATTATCAAATTTGTGAAAGCTGACTTGTGGGGAAGAATGATGGGGTGTCTCGTATCTTTATCGACGTTCGCCCTCTGTAGTCTTCCACCAACTCTAAGAATTTGGTAAGTGTCCAAAAAGGGATTCAACGAGGTAAGTTTACTTTTTTTTTACCTTTCTTTTCCTTTCTAGGTCTCCGATGTCTTCACTAAAACTTCGTCGCTGACACATCTTGATACAGGAAAGTAACGATTCATTGATTTCCCTTGCTGTTAATTGTGTACTAATCTTTTTCCTTTTTTCTTTAGGTTCCTTCCAGTGTAAGACTCTACGGCAGAACGACACAACTCGGGTAAGTTTTTTCAGGGATGAATATTTCGATAGTAGATTATCTTCTTCATTATTTGCTGCCGTCATGTAGGTCTTAATTTTTTGTTTCCTCTCTTCTAGGGTTGTGTCCGTTATATTCCTTTCGTAATTTATTAGGTCAAACCATAACCAATCAGGGCCTTGATGCCAAAGCTGGTTTGTCACACATTCAGATGGCATTAAGCCTCGCGATGCAGGGTCTGCTGGGTTCTCCTTTGAGGCCACATGCGACCATTGGTCTGCATCCATAACTGAAAGTATCTCAGAAACCCTGTTTGCGATGAATGTTTTCCATCGACTGGGATGGCTACTGAGCCAAGCTAGAACTATTGAAGAATCGGACCAAGCGTGTATATGTTCTTTAGGTATTTTCAGTACCTCCGATACTTC